GCTGTCCTCCCTCCCAACGGTAACAGCGATTCGCTCACAACACCCCGGGCACAGGCTGGACGTTGTGCTCCGCCGCACTGAATCCTCGCCCACCCTATCAGGTGGCCACAGTTATTATCATCACCAGTTTACAGGTGAGGAGACTGGCGGTGAAGGGAGGTGAAGTGCCCTGCTCAGGCCTGTGGCGGCCTGAGTCTGTCTGACCTCCAGGACCCATGCTGGGCCCTTCCTTCCCCTGCGTCACCAGTTCCATGGATAGTGAAGATCACTGTGTAAGATGACCCTCAAGGCCTTTTGAGTCCACCATCCATCCAAGAACCATTGCATCTCGGAGTGATGTTCAGGGCCACATGTGTGCTGGGAGTGAGGCTCCTGGCCCTGGGAGCCAGGAGGCCAGAGGAATGGAAGCCCAGCCATGTATGAGGCTGAGGGACAAGCGGGGGGCTGGGGGCTCCATCCTATGTCTGGGAACCTCAGGGTTTTTCAGGCAGTGCCCAGCCTGGCTGCACTTACGGCAGAACCTGAACTCAGATGCATCCCTGGAGGGGACATTTCCAGGAACGCTGTGCGATGCTGATGGAGCCACCTCAAATTCGCCTTGGTCCCCTCAGCATTTTAGCACTCCCCCTTTTTAGTTCACACAGGTTTGTATGCATAGCATTTAGGCACACAGCCATTTCCTCACCCAACTCCACCCCCGGGCAGCCCAGCCTAGCCCAATGTAGGTCCCCAGAACCCTGGGATCACCTAGAAATTTTAGAAACCCCAAATCCTCAAGCATGCCCACTTACAGCTCCCCCAGTGAAAGGCAAGGAGGCAGGTGGGCCCGAGAGCAGACACCGTTCCGGGCTTCCTTCCTCCAGGCCCACAGCTCCTGCTTGTCCCTCAGCCTCAGAAACAGAGGGGCTGCTCAGTTCCTCCACCAAAGGTGGCTGGGAGCTCTCCGCAGCACAAAACAGCTAATGAGAGAAACCTTTTTTTTTTTTTAATTTAAAGGAAATTCTGACATATGCTACAACATAGATGAAACTTGAGGACATTCTGCTAAGTGAAATAAGCCAACACAAAGGATTCTACTTACACAAGGTTCCTGGAGCAAATTCATAGAGACAGAAAGGGGAAGGTGGGTGCCGGGCTAAGGGGTGGGATGCGGAGTGTTTAATGGGAACAGGGTTTCAGTTTTATAAGAGGAAAGGAGTTCTAGAGATGGACGGTGGTGATGGTTGTGCAGTAATGTATGTACTTAATGCCACTGAGCTGTAGGGACACCTGTAATGTTTAAGATGGTAAATTTTATATTATGCACATTTATTATAATTATTTCAAAAAAGTAAAAATATATCTAAAGTTTCCCTTCTCAAGCATTATCCTGTTCCTTACATTATCTCTCCGAATCCTGGCAGCAACACTGGGAAGTCAATTCTATTGTCCTCATTCTGTAGGTGAGAAAACCCAGATGAGGGAGGTGACGTGCGTGTCCTAAAGTTGCCCAGCAAGGAAGTGACAGGGCCAGGGCTCCACCCAGGGCCTAACTACAAGGCTGGCTTTCTCCTCGCCCAGGGCCCTGGCTGCACAAGGAGCCACCCCAGCCCTGGCCACTCTCCATGATTCTGCTCAGATTCCCCTGCTAAGGGACAGCAAACAGGATCCAGATGGCGGTTCCCCCACTGACCAGGCTGGGGCCGACCTTGAAACCCCTCTGCCAAGGTTTCCAAATGCATCCCAGACTTCTGTCCTAGAAGCATCTGTTGCTCTCCTGCTGGGCTGGTTGGGGGCAGAGAGGCGGCCAAGCCTGACCACAGGCCTGGACAACAACTGTTGGGGTGTCGGGGGCTTGGCACTAGCAGGCCCTGGAATGCCTAGTATCCTCAGATGGTGAGATTCGTCTTACTCCAGTTTGTTTCAGTGCCCTGAGGTGGCCATAACAAAGTACCACAGATTGGGCGGCTTAAACAACAGAGCTTTAGTGTCCCATGGCTTAGGAGACCAGAAGGCTGAAATCAAGGTTGTCAGCAGGGCTGGTGCCTTCTGCGGGCCATGAAGGAGAATCGTTTCATCCTCTCTCCTCACATCTGGCAGCCTCAAGTGTCCCTCGACTAACTGATGGCTTTCTCCCTGTGTCTCACATCATCTTGCCACCATGAAAGTCTGACTCTGTGCCCAAATGTCCCCTTGTATGAGGTCACAGTCATATTGCATTAGGGCCTAATGACTCTAATGACCTCCTCTCAACTTGAACATCTGCAAAGGCCTTCTCTTCAAATAAGATCACATGCACAGGTACCAAGGGTTAGGACCTCAACATCTTTTAGGGGGACACAATTCAACCTATAACTCTCTCTATCCCACAACGTCATCACTCCTGTCAGCCATCCGGGAGGCCAGGGCAGAAGCTTCAGGAAGTTGGGGAAATTTGCAAAGTGCAATGGTATTTCACACACTCTTTAAGGTGTTACTAATGTATAACCATCACCATCAATACCCAGATGCTTGCTGTGTGCCAGGCATGCACGCTCCCCATTCCTCAGCTGCAGGGCAGCTGTTATCCAGCATCCTAAAAATCTCTAAGATCTGGTGACTTCCCCATGGTGACCTCCTGTATTAGTGGCCTTCAGCTGCTATAACAGATTTCCGCAAATCCGTTGGTATAAAACAACAGAAATTAATTGTCTCACAATTATGAAGGCTGGAAGTCAAGAGGTCGGCAGGGCCTCACTCCCTGCAAAGGCTTTAGGGGAGGATCCTGCCGGGCCTCTTGCAGCTGCTGGTGGCTCCAGGCATCCCTTGCCCAGTGGCAGCATCCAGTCTCTGCCTCTATCACCATGTGACTGTCTTTTCTTCTCTGTCTCTTCTCTGGCTGCCTTTTATGAGGACATTTGCCATTGGATTTAGAGCCCGCCCAGGTCATCTAGGATGACCTTATTTTAAGATCCTTAATTTAATTGCATCTGCAAAGACCCTTTGTCCAAAAAAAAGGACATCTTCACAGATTCCGGGACCTGGAGATATCTTTTGGGGATCACCATTCAACCCCTCCATATAGCCCCAGACACCATCGTCCCAGCTGGGCCACTGCAACCACCCCCAGCTCCCAGCCTTCAGCACTTGCAGCCAGAAGGATTTTACAAAAGAGAGACCAGAGCCACGTTCCTCCCTAAAGTCTCACAGTGGTTCCCACGGCTTCAGGAAGCAGCCCAGACTTGGCCTCCAAAGCTCCCAGGGCCTGGCCCTGCTGACCTCTCAGGAATTAGGTCTTTCTGCTCCCCTTCCCCAGCCCTGTTCCCACCCCACTGACCTGCCCTTGGTTCAGGTGAGGGTCGGAGCCTGGTCTTGCCTCAGGCCTCCCCCATGCTATTATCACTGTTCCCTCTACCTGGGACTCCTCCCCTGGGCTTCCCCTGGATGACTTCTGCTCACCCAAGTCTCACCCTTGACAACCCAGGCCGAGTCAGGGGCCTCCGCTGAGCTCCCACAGCCCCTGGGCATTCACCGTCCTCAGTCATCACAGTGGGTCATAACATGAGTTCACCAGTCTTTACTCCCTGGGCTGGGACCACGTCCATCTTGCTCTCCACAGAGCGGCTGCCACCCAGTGCAGAGCGCATCTGGTGTCCTGCAGTGTTCCTGGGAGGGCCGTGGAGGTCAGACATGGCTAGACCTTTTTCTCCACCTCCCATCCGGGCCCATCTTCCTTCTTCAGAGTCTTAGGGAACATTTATTTCACACCTTTAAAATCTTAACTTCTGTTTGCATGTGTTTTATATATAACAACTTTATTGAGATATAATTTACATACCATACAATTCACCCATTTAAAGTGTACAAGTCAGTGGTTTTTAGTATATCAGAGTTGTGCAGCCATCATCACAAATCAACTTTAGAACATTTTCATCCTTCTAAAAAGAAAGCCCATGCATATTAGCAGGCACTTTCCATTTCCCTCCACCTGTGTCCTCTCCCCAGCCCCTGGCAACTCCTAATCTGCTTTCCACCTTTATAGATTTCCCTGTTCTGGGTATTTTGTATCAATGGAATCATACAATATGTGGCCTTTTGTGCCTGGCTTCTTTCATGCAGCATGTTTTCAATGTTGTATGTACTGTGTTCCTTTTTATTGCCTAGATAATATTCCATTGTATGGATATACCACTATTTATCCATTCGTCAGTTGGATAATTGATTCTTTCACTTTTTGGCCATTATCAAAATGCCACATGCAAGTTTTTGTGTGGATGTGTGCTTTCATTTCTCTTGGGTATAAACCTAGGAGTGGTGAATATATTTTTTTAATTAAAAACAACTTCTATTTTAAATTGCAAATGTGATACATTAGAGATTGCCCAAGTGACAAATTAGGAACAAGAAAACATAGATACAATCCAGACTCCCCACAAAGATATCTGGTGTCCAGCCCTGCAGACGTCCCTCTTTGCTTCTGCTCTTGTTTACTTATTTGGAGCATGAACAGGTGGCCATGTAGGTGGACACTGTGACAACTCCTTGCAGAAGACAGCCTGTGTCTGGCTCCCTCCGATCCTTCATGTGACTGTCAATGAGGAACTAGTCAGCCCAGATTAAAAATGAAACCAGCTTAGACTTCAAAGGAGAAACAGCTAAGAGTAAGAGAAAGAAGGAGGATTTTCAGCTGTCTGGGGGTGGAGGAAAGATTTTCAAGGGGCTAAAGCCTCTCTTTCTTCAGTCAAAAAAAAAAAAGCATTAAAAACAAAAGAGGCAAAAACCCAAACAAAAACCTGAGAAATCACTATATCAGGGTGGACGGATTACAAGTGACTTATTTTCTTTAAAAAAAAAGTTTAAGATATGATACTGTTATTATGAAGTTTTACCACTAAAAAGAATCTAAGAAGTCTTTGAGGGATTACTGATAAAAAAAAAAGGAATGTTTTTATAAAGCTCAGCAATTCTTAAGAAGAGTGTAGCCAAAAAGTCTTTCTTCCTCCTTTATAGTTCCTTCCAAGATCTGGCTCACTGAGACAGAGGCCGAGAGAGCAGACAGCCGCAGGCCAGAGAGAAACTGTGAAGATCTCACTTCCAAGACTGGGAGTTGCTTATGGGCACCTGGGGAAAAGCAGGTGAGAAAAGACATTAAAGCTTTCTCTCGTTAAAATTATTGTAGGGGAAAAAATGGTAATTCTTAACCATTCACAACTAGCAAGCTTTCACAAAACCTACGTGTTGGCTTTGCTGGGTATCTATTCCCAAACTGTATGTTCTTTGTTACAGAAATAATTCTTATAAGCAGCCCTTCTTAAACAGTGATAAGCAATTCTAGGATTTATGCTCAAGTGTTTTAAAAAGAGTCGCATTTATTCTAAGAAGTACCATTAAATAGTAAAACATACTTGTCTACTCAGAAGCAGTCTAGAGGTGGCTGGATGTCTGGCGTGGAAGCTGCCATTTACTACTCTTTCACCCAGGGCAGACATTGCTAAATGATCACAGAACTCTTTTCCACCAGTCTAAAGATTGTCTCTGTATCTCTGTCTATTCTTAAAAGGCAACTTCTAAGAGTGAATCAGAGGCAGCCAAAAACAAGAAACAAAAATAACTCGTTTCTGTGCAGGGAGCAAGGCCAAGACGCCATCTAGTGGCAGAGCTTCCTAATTGCAGGCGGAGTACTAGAAGGAGTGGGTCCCCTGAGCCAGCTAAGCCAAACAGAACGGCAGTAATGAGCTGTTGAGCCTAGACTTGAGTAAATACAACAGCCTTCCTAGAGAAGAGTTTTCAATTTCAACATGGGTTTTCCTTGCTTTAGCCTAGGAGATAACAGAAGCATTTCAGGCAACAATTAATAGTAGCTAGAGTTTTTAGGAAATTTAGATTTTTCCCCGGTATTCTTTTTGCCAAAGACTGATCCTTCTGTCTGACCCAGGCCCCAGGTCCCCAAGCTGCTTAGATTTCTCATTCCATGAACTGCATGTAACATTCGGTTTCAACCTGAGTACTTTTTCCTTAGCAACTGACACTGATACAAGTGCTGCTATCCCTGTTTTTCCAGGTGATAACACTGAGGCTCAGAGAGGGGAGGCAACTTGGCCAAGGTCACACAGTGAGGACTGACACCTCCACCTGCCAAGCTGGGGCTGTAGACCCCTCAACACTGGCTCCATGTCGGGTCCTTCTGACAGCAGACTGTGTTCTTGCTGGGAGAGTCCAGGGCAGGTCCACTGTGTTCCTGGGGGTGTCCCACCAGGGCAGGGCACAAGCAGCCCAGATGGGGCAATGGGCCCCTGTCGGGAGGGATCCCAGTGCAGGGTCCCAGGGCTGATTCTGGAGCTGGACTATCCAGACCACCTGCTCAGGGTTCTGCAGCCAGACTTTGAATCCCACCCTGCTACTGCCAGCTATGCAGTTTATCAACCCCTGGGGCCGCCCTCTCCTGAGCAGAATGCCTCTGCATGGGCAGCTGTGATAATGCCTGCAGTCTGCAGTTGCATAGATAAAGGCTTAGGGCTGCCCCAGGAGAAAGCAGGTCACTGCTGGCCCCCTCTCCCTGCCCCCATGCCCCTCTCCACCATCCTGTCCTCTCTGTTCTCTGCCTGTGTGACTCCAGGCTGATTTCCAGCTCCTCTAGGCTGACAGCAAGGCTCAGTCTGTCTCTCTGTCTCTGATGTTCTCTCCATCTCTCTCTCTCACCCTCCTCTTCTCTGCCTGTCTTCTCTCTTCCTCTCCCTCCCTCCCTGGGATCAGGGGAGGATACAGCCAACCTCAGCTGCTTGTGGCTCCAGCCTGCAGGCAAGGAGGGCAACCTTGGCTATCTGCCAACCCAACTCCTCGGTCAGACCCCGGCCTCCATCTCTCTGTCACCTCCCTGAACACCCTCTGCTCAGGTGTGTGCTGAGCAGTCAGGAGGCCCGGGGCCAGGCCTGCTGAGGACCTGGGAGAAGGCGGGTAGTGGGGTGGGGCGTGCTCCTCCCAGGGTACGGCTGGTCCAGAGGTACAGCTCCTCACCCAGGCACTAGAGGATCCTCTGCCTGCCCAGGGTTGAAAATCTGTGTGGAAACCTCACCCCGGCACCAAGGAGCCCACCCAGGCTGCAGCCAATAGCTACCAAAGCAGGAATTGTAAAAGCTGCCATTGTATATGTGCATACACACACACACACACACACACACACACACACACACACTTAATTTGGGAGGCAAACACTTAATATGGGGTACAAAGTGTGACTATGGTATGTGTACTTTTTGGTATTAACTTCTTTCAAACCATGTAAAAGGACTCACAGTGAAAACAAACACCCTCAGTTCCACAGTTCCCCTTCCCAAAGGCCACCAGTTACCAATTCCTTGTGAGTTCTTCTAGAGATAGTGAGCGCAGGATCCAAGCATTTATGGACATATATTCCTGCAATTTCGCGCCACAGGGCAGCATCCTTTACACACAGCTGCGCTTACTTTTAATACTTAACAACTAATCTTGGAAACTGGTACATAATCTGCCACATCTTGAAGTACATATATTTCACATACTACAAAATTTGTCCTTTAACATGTACAATTCAGTGGTTTTTAGTATATTCAGGATTGTACAACCATTACCACTACCTAGAACATTTCATCACCTTTCTTTAGAACAGAGAAATTCCATACCCATTAGCAGTCACTCCCCACTCCCTGCCCCCCAGACCCTTGGAAACCATTAATCTACTTTCTGTCCCTATGACTTTGCCTATTCTGGACATTTCATATAAATTTTTCTGTATCTGGCTTCTTCCACTCAGCATAATGTTTCTGAGGTTCATCCATGCTGTAACCTGTGTCAATACCTTGTCCCTTTTAATGACTGACTAATATTCCACTGTATATCACATTTTGTTTATCTCCTTGTTCTTTTTAATGACAATTTGGCATTTCATTGATGGATGTACCTTAATTTGCCAGTCTCCTGCAATGGGCGTTGAAGTTGTTTCCAGTCTTTTGTTACTACAAATAGTGCTGTAGTTAATTTCCTTGTGTTCTTTGCAAATACATGTGTAAGAAACTTCCTTAGTACAGAGTTGCTAGGCCAAAGGAGTACAGTTTTCCTTTTATTACCAATTGTGCTCTAAGGAAGGCACACGTGAAATGTCATTTTCCCCACACCTTTGCCAACCCATTTTATCAAAAAATTTAATTCCTTTTTACCATCACTTTTGGAAGGTTCTATCTCATTGTAATTTTCATTTGCATTGCTTTCTTTTGAGTGAATTTGAATGCCATTTCATTCCTAGTTGTCCATTCATACCTTTTCTCTATTTTCCTGGTGAGTCATTGATTAATGTTATTGGTTTGTAAGAACTCTTTATATATGGAAGAAATTAGCCTTTTTATCTGACAGGTTGCAAATTTTTCCACAGTTAATCATTTTACTTTTTTCTGTGCAGAAATTTTTAAGTACCCAAATGTATCTTTTGTGACTTCCGGGGTATATGTCTTTCCTAGGATTCTTAGAAAGCTTACGAAAAGGACCCAGAATCTATGCCTATTTATGATCCGTCAAGGAAACCAGACAAACCCACAGATGGCTCTAGCAAAGATGCTGTGAGTGCGGAAGCTCAGTGGACTCGTGACCCAGTCTCGGGAGTGCGGGACACTTCCTAAAGGTGAGAAGGGGAGATAGCTGAGGCTGAGAGTGAGTGGGCATTGTCAGGCAGAGGGGACAGGATGGGAAAGCCATGTAGCCCCCTGAAGAGCACAGGGTGGTCAGGAGAACTGACGGACATTTGGTGTCCAGGGTCTGGGGCACAGGGAGAATAAGCAGGCTGGACAACATTCAGCTCTCAACGTGAGGGCAGCCAGGAGGCTGAAGGTATCCCTCAGAGGGCTCTTTGGCTCCATGTACCTTTGGGAGGATCCTGTAGGACTGGAAGCTCAGAGAGGAGGTGAGAGGCCACCAAACAGACCAAGAGCACATCCCAGGAAAGGGGGAGGCTGGATGGGACAAAGCTGAGGAGTGGGCACATGGCGAGAATCCAGGTCTCCCCCAACAGGGCTGGGCCAGAAGGCAGAGCAGGGGAGCCTGGGGCCTGGGCGCTCAAGGAGTGCACACCCCTCATACAGCCGCCCCTTCTCTTCTGACTCCCCGGGCCGAGGGGGAGGTCCCAGGAATCCTTTTCTTCTGGAGCCAGTGGCTGTCTGCCTAATGAACAGAACCACCCACACACAGTATCTGTTGGCTGCAGGCAGCCCAGAGCCAGCCAGTGCCAGGCATGGGTGGAAGACAGGGGCAGGATGGCGCCCCCCCCTTTGGAGGCATGGGGGTGGGGCTGTGAGGGAGGCCAGAGCCTGTGGGACGCAGAGGAATGGATAAGGCTCTGGGAGGTGCTGGGCTGGCACCCTGGTCCTGCCCCTTCTGCCCTGTTCCCACAGGAGCCTGTGGTCCTTTTCCTGGAAAACCCTTCTCTCCAACGTCTCTTTCTAATCTCTCTGGCTCACCCATCTCCCTCTGTCTCTGGCTTGCTGGCTCTTTCTCTTTTTCTGAGTATCTCTTTATATCTCTGTCTTGGACTGTTTCTCTCTCCCCTCTCTCTAGTTCTCTTCTCCCTTCAGAATCACTTCCTTGGAGGCAGAAACCATTCCTCTCAGAGCTGTCAGTTGGGGCAGGCCCCCGCGCTCAGGGCCCGGCAGGTGCCACCAGGCGGGCAGCCCCAGGGTCCCTACTCTGAGGGGTTCCTCTTGCCTGACCTCCACACCTGCCCTTTCCGTTGCAGTGCCAGGACTTGTGACCCCCACTCCAGACACATCCAGCAGGAAGTGGCCTTCACCCCACAGGTGCTAGGAAATGGACAATTTCCCACACAGAAGGTCCTCTCACTTGGCAGACCTTATTTCTAAACTCTCGGTCACCTAGCATTCCCCTTACCAGCCTAGGTGTTCCACTCCCATTGATCTGGGGTTCAAATGAGGAAGAATCCCTGTTAACTGCCCCCCAACACTTAACAATGCTCAACATATCAGCCATTGGCACTCTAGTGTGAATGAGCCCAGGCTCCCTCTAACCCCCAGCCAGATAGATGCTGTCTAAGGAGACCTCATTAGTCCATTTTTGCAGGAGGAAAGGTATGGAAAGAGAAGCAGAAAAAGCCACCTCACAGAGGGCAGCTGGGAGAGAGGTGGGGGGCAGAAAGGAAGGGATCTGTGGGGCTGAGCATCGTGAAGGAGAAGACCGCTCACTGGCCCACCCCTTTACAGTAAACAAAGCATGGTCACAGGAAGTCCCCAAGTCTTGCACCAGTCCCATTTCCAGACTGGGGGACTGAGGCCCGGAGAGAAAGGACTTGCTCTAGATCGCTCACCGGTCTCCTGCTCCAAACACAGGCCCCCGTCCTGCCGTGCTAGCTTGTACCCGACCCTGTCCCTCTGGTATCCTTTCCCCACCCTCAAAAGTGCTGGCCTCCTCCCCTGAGGACTCCCACGGAGGACAGGAAGGCCCTCTTGGGGCCTTAATTTATGATTTTGTGACCACTTCCTTCCTCGCATCACTCCCTCCCAGCCCCAGCCCCGTGAAGAGGAAAGGAGCTGGGTGAGAAGGGCAGCTCCCTGGAGAATACGCGACTTGGCCAGGCAGCTGCAGGCTTTCCAGGGCCCCCAGGGTGCCCGCCTTGGCCCAGCAGGGCTCCCCCTGCTTGGGGACCAAGGGGCACCTCCAGATCAAAGGCAAAGAAAGCAGGCATTGTTCCTTGACCTGGAAGCGCTGGGGGAAGGCCCAGCCCTCCAGCCCTGCCCTTTGTCTGGGCAAAGGCTTTGCAGGCCACTGACGTCTACATGGTCCCCCTTGCCTCTCATGACAGCCAGACACTGCCTGGGCCGTTAGGCCTGCGCCCCTGGGGCCTGCCTCCTGGACTCTGGGCGCCCCGTGGCCCTGGGGGCTTCTTCCTTACCTATAGAACAGGCACAGTAAGGGTACAGATCGGGAGGAGTGCCTGGGCTCCCACAGCCTGTGTGCAAACAAGACTGATATTATGGGCATCCCCGAGCCTGGCAGGCTGTCCAGTGGGGCACAGGCTGAGGAAAGAGGCCCTTAGCACAGGCCCCGGGGGGAGTTCACAGGGAAGGGAGGCTGCGGCCCAGGTTTGTTTGCTATACTGAGAGCAGCATTTCCTGTTTGGACTAGGCTGGGTGGACATGTCAGCGAATCCATGCCAGACCCCATGGCCTGTACTGGGAGGGCGTGTGTGTGTGTGTCTGAGTCCATGTCCCTATGTGGTCCACACTTTTGTGGATGTGTCCATGTATATTTTTCTCTCACCTCATCAGCTCACAGACAGTCAGAATCTGAGCCGAGTCCTTTTCCCCCAAAAAGCCCCACTGTGGGGCTCTGCCAAAGAGAGGCAGTGTGGTCTAGTGGGTGAGCACCTGGGCCAGCACCCGTCACTCACCAGCCATGGGCCTTGGGTGAGCCCCACACCTAGGGATACTGAGGCCGCCGTCCTGGTGGTGGAGAGGAGGGCAGGAGACAATGCAGGCAAATGCTGAGCACAGCTCTTGGCACGTGGTCAGAGCTCTGAACGGAAGCTGCTGTGTTACTGGCCCTTGTGGTGTCTTGGCAGAGGAGGACCAAGCCCCCATGGGGGAAGCCCCGCCCACAGGGACGGGCCCTGGGACCTCAAGCCAGCCAGCCCCTCTCCTCCCTATCTCAGCAAACACTGAAACCTCAAATGACCAAGACCCAGGCCCCCCTCCCCAGGCATTTCCTGTCCTTCCTGCTCTGGGAGGAGGAAGGAGGGCCAGAAGACAGTCTGACATCCACCAGGAAAGCGCCCCTTAGAACGGAGCTTCAGGCTGTGCCCCAGGACTCCCACGTGGAGACCCAAAGCTTTCTCACTTCCCAGAAGTACAAACTCTTGAGACAGAAGACTCTTAAGAAGGTCCTATGCATTGTTTTTTCAGGCAAGGAGATGAAACTCAGAGAGGGGAGGTGACTTATCCCAGGTCACCCAGCTCCCAGTTGTTCTGGAATTGACACCTAGGCCTCTGGGGCACTGAGCCCGGGTGGTAAACACCAGGGTGAACTGCCACATGTTGTAGCAAAAACAAGGACTAACCAGAGAGGCACAAAGCTGCACTTCTTGAAGGTCAGATACATGGCACATAGTAGGTGCCCAAAAATCACACATGGAAGGGAGAGAGGCAGCTCCAACAAGGGGGCTGAGTGGGCACTGTGATGATTTATTTGAAGGAAGTGGGAAGCCTGAGGGGGCCATAGAAAGAATGGGTACCAGGGCATTACTGTGACATCTCAGTCCTGCCCACACCCCTGGAAGGAATGTGCAACTGTCCTTCTCACGGAGAGAAACTGAGTCTTAGAGAAGGGCAGAGCTTGCCCAAGTTAATGAGGGCAGAGACGCAGAGGCAGGGTTTGAACCCAGTTCTCACTACCCATCCCCTTGGGGAGAGGGCCAGCACCCTCTGCATCAGCTCACTCTCCCCCATCCTGACTGAGTCCTGGGACCTGGTGCTGCCCAGCCCTGGTGAGTCCAGGAGAGGCAGTCCCCGGGGAAGAGAGAGGTAGGGGCTGGCAGGTCCTTCCTGCTGGAGTGCGTCTAGCAATGATCCTGCATCTGGACAAGCCACAAAAGAATCCTGCAGGACAGGCCCCAGGGGCTCCACCAGCTGGGCAAGGGGGTCCCCAGCCCAGGACTGCCTGCTGTACGGCAACCCAGGCAGAAGGGGGTGTTAGAGACTGTCCTGGAGTCTTGGCGGGGTCCCCTCTGATGAGAGTTGTGGTCCCTCCCCATAAATACACACTCCTACCACAGACACAGCCGTTACACACGTATGACACACACCCTTCCTACCGGCACACAGCATACACATGCATCACAAACATCACATGTGCACACTCCTTCATCACACACTTGCACACATCTTTGTGGGTTCACAGCCCTCCCCAAAATGAAGAACCTCCACTCCAAGCCAATCTTTACCTTGTCACAGACAGGGAAACCGAGACCCACATCAACATGCTGTCTGGACTCTTCCCTAAATGTGCTTAAGAGTGACCCCTCTGAAGTCAGATCTGAGTTCAAATCCTGACTCTTCCAACTACCGACAGAATGCTTTAGGCAGATGATGATGCAGCTCTGTGCCTCAGTTTCTCCATCTATAAAATGGCAGTAAGAGTGAACACTGGCCTCCTGGGGTCAGCCCAGGTCTTCTCCCAAGGGGACTAGCAGTGCCTGGACTTGTGTTCTTCTCCCTGTAATGGGGATAATTGTGCCCACCTCACCCAGAGCGCTTTGAAGATTAAACCAAGACAGGATGTGCAGCAGCGGAGGCAAGGTGCCCTGCCAGCAGTGGTGCTCACTGCTCAGGAAGCCTTTGTTGCGTGGATGGACAGAACTCGCATGCCCGGGGGGAAGGCGTGGCCGTTCAGGTTCTGGCTGCCTCTGAGACCTTGGCCCCGGCCTCAGTTTCCCCAGCCTGCAACACGTGGGAGGGCACCTCGGAACTGGCACCCGCACCCTCCCCCCCAAATGGCCATGCGGCTCAGAGCGCCAGGCTCAGGTGGGCACCTGCGGGCCAACTGGCGCGGGCACCCGGCCTCCCGGGGCATCTTCCGGGTTGGCAGCGGCGGCGCAGGGGGCGGGGGGCCGCGCCAAGG